TCAAGGCTAAAGTAGTGAGCAAAAGGAAATTTTAGGAGTGGTTGTTGTGACTTACAAGAGCAGGGAGTGTTGACGATGATGTCCACGTTTATTTCCAGCAGTCGATGCTGGTCTCGGTCAACAGAGAATTCATAGTCACTCCATCCCCAGATGAATTCGCCTATATCGTTGAGGATGAGAAGAAAAGAGAGTGCAATGACAAAAACAGTCATAAAGCCGCCAAACTTTGTACGTGACTTGTACGAGGCGGGTAGTTTTGGAAAGGCATCAAACTGCTTGATAGGAGCAATATCATCGATTTGCTCGAGCAGAGACTTGTCATCGTTGTGGGCCATGACGGTGCATGCAGAGTATACGGAAGTGTCATGGTCCGAAAGCTAACAGGTTCGATTTCTCGATTATACAATAGGAGAACATATTGCTCATTCATGATAGGAAACTTCCACATCACCACTCTTGGACATGGATACGGTGGTCATGGCCACGAGCACACTGAACACAAGGGTTAGTCGTATTCTCAGTGTGCAGAAACTGGGTATTAACCCAATCTACAGCTATGAACTTGTCACATGTTATCTCCGAATTCTCCTTTGGACCATACTATCCGGATATCGCTCAACCCCTCGATTATTCATTTGAGACCACCGAAGAACCTTTTGTCGCTTTCCAATACTTCATCACGGTTGTTCCTACTACCTACATCGCACCACGGTCGAAACCCCTTCACACTCACCAGTACTCTGTGACACATTACATCAAGAAAGTCCCTCATGGAACCACACCAGGAATCTTCTTCAAGTATGATATCGACCCGGTTGCTCTTGAAATCCATCAACGCACGACCTCGTTTACGCAGTTTGTGGTTCGCATCGTTGGTGTCATTGGTGGAGTTTGGGTATGCTTCGGATGGGGTCTCAAAGTCGCTTCAAAAGTATCACAGAAAGCCGGTTTGACCAGTGACGACGACGAGCCTATCACTGCGGAAGTTACGGGAATGTCCTCCAAGAAACGATGGAGAGGATCCAATCTCGGTGGCCTTCGCCGACGAGCAAACGACGACGCTGGCAGCAACTGGTCCACTCCAATGAACTCACCATATCCTTACTCGGCTCAACCTACTCCGGCTAGTCCCTATGCAACCTTTTCGACCCAAGGTCAACCCGCCAGCCCATACAGCCCTTACTCGCCTCAAGGCACTCCTCATAGTCCGTACAATACTTCGCTTCCTCCTTCTCGATCGGCATCTGCTGGGTTCCCTACCAGCCCAGGCCCGGGCAGTCAGTTCCTAGCTCCCAGCTCACCTTACACTCCTTCTCACTTCCCGGCTTCACCTCTCCCCAATCAATCAGGGTTCCCATCTGGAGGTCTGGCACCTCCCAGCCCTAATCCTTATGGCGGAGGAGGAATGTATAGCCCGAGCCCCATGAGCTCAGGGAGTGCTGGATGCTTCGCCGCACAGCAAGCTCAAAGACCTCCGTCGAGGCCATCAAGTCTTGTAGGGACGCCACCTCCTCCACGATCCAATAGCTTGAGGAATGAGAAGAAGGAGGATTG